CTTTGGGTTCTTGCAGACTGCAGCTGCAAGAATTCAAAGGTACTACCCTACAGTCGCCCTTCAAACATAGTAAGTTCAACTTTGGTGGTGCGCCTACTTACTAACTGTTTTCATTTACATATACTCTCTTTCCCTTGAGGTTTCTCAAGGTAAGTACTTAATTGCTCACACCCGCTTGCTAATGTCTGTTGTACTTAGGATTTTGGAGACTTTGGATGGCGCAGTGACAGCCACTCCTCCCTTTGAGCGCCCTCCAGTTCCCTAACGTAAGTCCTTCTTTTCCCGCGTCCGCTTGCTAATGTTTGTTCTATTTAGGATTATACTTACAAATTTCAGGACTTTGGATGGCGCAGTTAGAGCCACTCCTCCCTTTGAGCGCCCTCCAGTTCCCAACGTAAGTCCTTCCTCTCTCATGTCCATTTGCTCACGTTTGTTCTATTTAGTATTATACTTACGAATTTCGGGACTTTGGATGGCGCAGTTAGAGCCACTCCTCCCTTTGAGCGCCTTCCAGTTCCTTAAATGTAAGTCCTTCTTCTCTCGCGTCTGTTTGCTAATGTCTGTTCTATTTAGTATTCTGCTTATTGGAACTGGGGGTTGCGCAGTGCATGCCACTTGTCAGTGGCTCCTGCTTATAGGAACTGGGGGTTGCGCAGTGCATGCCACTTGTCAGTGGCTCCTGCTTATAGGAATTGGCGGTTTCACAGTGCATGCCACTTGTCAGTGGCTCCTGCTTCTTGGAATTGGCGGTAGCGCAGTGCATGCCACTTGTTAGTGGCTCCTGCTTATTGGGACTGGGGCTCAGCACAGTGCATGCCACTTGTCAGTGGCTCCTGCTCCAACTTTTTAATGGTGGTAAGTGCTCAATTCCTGATGACCTTAACTGATCTGTTTTGTTCTCTAGACTGCTGAACCTGCCGGTACTTTTGTGTGGCAAGTGCTCTCTAGTTAAGTGTTAATCTTGTCTTAAATTTTGGTCTAACGTTTCTACAGGACAAATTTGTATTGTATTATATATATATTTGCTACATACATTTTCACCTGAAGTGTTGAGGCTTTGGTGAGGAGGGCCCCCTTATTGAAGTCTCGCCTCCCCTTTTGTATTTGTTACTTTATTTGTTTGCTTACTTGTAGTAAAATTTATTGTCACTCGTACTTTGTATTTGAAAATGTATGTTGATGGACGCACTTTATTTGCTGCCGGCTGAAAAGGTCACGTGACCGTGTGTATATTAGCAAAGAGCCTTATTAAGAAAGCAAGCGCAAAAGCACAGTAGTGTATAATAATCAAATGCTGCACTGTGCAGACCAAAGCAACTATTATCTACTACATGTCTTAGATAGATAATGTGTTATGTAGATCTCAATTCTGCCTTGATGCGGCTCACCATTGACATGCTGAAGGACGCTATCATTGATTATTGTCTGCCAGTCAAAATATACTATTGGCATAGGCAGATGGTGGCAGAACACTAGGACAAGTAGCCATGACGCCATATGATACAAACTTCCCTTCCCAGTCAGAAGGTTGATTCTTCTTTGAAATTGCCTTCTGACCACAGAGGGGAGTCATCATATGGCATCATTGTCACCATCTGCCTGGGCTACTAGCATATTTTGGACTGACAGACATTCTCAATACCCTACAGGCCGCTTAGAGGCTAGCCCGCCCTCAAAACTGTTCGTGTTAAGAGTTCTGCCTCAGAGGTAAGTTGGCTACACCTATACTGCAGGGTATTGAGAATGTTTTCTTCGGTTAACAAAGAAAAATTTTCAATACCCTACAGTATAGGTGTAGCTAACGAAGTATTACCTCTGAGGCAGAACTCTTAACACGAACAGTTTTGAGGGCGGGCTAGCCAGTATATGCCTCAGAGGTAACCTCAGAGGTATCTCCCCTCCATGGTCAGAAGGGAAGAGTCAGCCTTCTGATGGTGCAGGGCAGTTTGTATCATATGGCGTCATTGCTACTTGTCCTGGTGTCCTCCGGATGCCAATTTACTATTATACACTACTGTTTTTGTGATTGCATTCTTAATAAGTGAGTCCTTGCTGTCTCTCAAGGCGTTGAACTCCAGCTGGAAGTGTCTCCTGTTATTTGAGACAGGGATCCCACAGTGTAGTCCCAGATTCAGAATATCATTCATTCTTCTGTGGTAGTCTGCCAATATTAGTCTTCACTCTTCCAGCATCTGAGCGAGTTATTACAGTACTAATTATGTCACAATCTGGGCAAGACTTCATTTAATCAGTCTTCCATCAGTAGATTCCATTCATATATCCAAATTTGATCGCGGGACAATTTTTTCGGAATCATTTCATATAAGTTAAATTGAGTCTTGATCCGAACGAGCTGGTTGAAAATTTTCCTTGCTCACCATGGACCAACAAATGAGTCAATCAATCAAGCTGAGAGCAGCTCTGACCACAAGGATCAAGGAAATTATGGGAAAATCATCAGCAACAGGGATCTTCAGAGGGGGGATATTGCAAACTCACCTTCTACACAAAGCAAGGTGAGAGGTTATATTTAGGGCCTTATTTGATCCGCTCTATTAAATGGTCTCACTTAAGATTAAGAATTGGACATGAGCTAGACAGTTGCTTAGCAACACGTGATGTCAACTTCCATGCTTCTGCGTCAATCTCAGAATATGAGATCAATCGAGCTGCACTGACAGTTGCCCATGCAATGGTAAATCCTTGTGAGTTGTTTCACTCTGCAAGATATCACCTGGTTTTAAATTCACATCATTTGCAGATTATGTGGATTGGGATGTTGACAGATTTGCCGAAATGGCCAAAGTCTCTACACCTAAATCTGATGGTCCCCTCGCTAATACCAATCAGCTACCAAAGTACTTTTCTGCAGCTATGATCGGTAAAATTTCAGCACCAGCTACTATTGTGGACAGGCAAGGTAAAATTTTAACAATTTACTTGCCAAATATTCTGTCTTCTTCTCGGGTTGTATGTTCATTCTTCCTTGGGAATTCCCCTCATCAATTGATAAATTAAATTAGGAATATGTGAACTCAGCCACTAAGGGTTTACGGACTTTACTTCTTGAAACAATTACGTCCTCCACCCAACAGTCTTGGCGATCTCAAGGCTTTGTTGTCCCAGAGGGGGGTGGAGAATTTGGAGCAGGCAGAGTCACAGTATCACCAGCATATTTTATGCAAAGACACGAGGTATAGGCCAAATTTAGTGGTGTTTAGCTACTTTTGACTTTGTTTGATTTCATTTGCAGAGACTGGAAGACCCAATGGTTACCTCGGCTTCCTATAAGTCTGTGGAAGTCCAAGAGTGGCTAGCTGCTTTATCAGCTACTGAATCTTTCTGGAATGCCATTACCGCTGTATCGGCTCCAGATCTATTCGAAGCAGGCACCTTGGCAATCACTCGTATTATTGAGGAACTTCAAGGTTCTGATAGAACATCACCACCCATCTGTGATTGGCCCTCGATCTTCTCAGGATTGGAAATAATTGCAAATCGTACAACTTTATCACACAGAGATTCTGGTGGCGCACCTTCTCTTTTTGATCTTCTGATTAGTTTAGGCAGTGGCCATGAGGCTAAGTTGACATTAGCAGATGTTGGGGCCGAACTGGATTATTACCCTGGGACAATGGTCTTCATTTCCGGGAAGGTTTTACAACATTCTATTGGTCCATGGGGTCCGGGAGAAAGGCTCGTTATTGCCCATTTTATGAGGGATAAAATCCACTCTAGATGCGGGGTATCCAGACCCCCCTTTCCAACACAGGCCTATTTTTTGCAGATGGTGGGGCAGCAGGATAGTTATTTGTTGTGACAAGTAGATGATAAGAAAGGAGTGGTTCTTGGAGGAGGAGGGGTGGAATGGGACAAATCAAGTGTTTGACAGTATACCTACTAGATTAGTTGATGTGATCTAGTGATTCCTATGAATGGTTTCAACTATCAAAAATAGAATGTTGATAATATCAATTTTTCCCCCCACACGTAACCCTATGTCTCCCAAGAAAAAAACTCGACTCAAGGCAGCTACATTTTCCTTCCAAGGAAGAGGTCGTTTGTCTAAAGGCAAGGACCTTGATGTTGCCTATGTGTCTCATAAACAAGTCATTGGAAAGAGAAGGAAGCCAACCTGGGTGGAATCATGCGCTGATAGCCTTTATGACACTGCCCCAACACCATCTCCATCCTCCAGCCCTCGTAAACGTATTAGAGAAGACACTCAAGGGTTGCAAAACAGTCATGAAGATTTTGATAGACAAACCCTTGGTGACTTTGTTTCCTATGTAGAGAACTCACAAAGAAAAACCAAGGCAAGCATAGTGATTCAGTGTCTTTTAATGATGTACTAAATAGAGATTATTACGACCAGACACAAAATGACTTCATCCAAGAATATCTGCCTTTCCGAGACTTGTACTTGGATATTCTCCTTGACTTGGAGAAACCCTCCGATGTATCCCAGTGCCAGTCTTGTCAGATTGGTGAAGGGAAATTCCGCTGTTGACTTGCAGTGGAGATCAGACATTCTGTCGTTCTTGCATTGTCAATGCTCACCAGTTTTTGCCCTTCCACAAGGTTCAAGAGTGGACTGGGAAATGCTTCAACGACACATCACTTGAAGAATTGGGTTTTATCTGGTATATGGGCCATGGGGGACAACCATGTCCATTTTCTGACGACATGCATACATGGGAGAATATTCCGATGGACGCAGAGGCCGATTTTTCACCAATGGAGACAGTTTCATGGTTTCAACTATACCAACCAAGTTGACAATTGTACATTCCACTGGAGTGTTTTTTGCACAACGTTGTCTGGTGCAGCTGTCCTGGGGTCGATTGTCAGCAGCATTTGCAATTGCTGAAAGCTAAATTATTTCCAGCCAGTACCACTCGACCACAGACTGCCTTTACTTTTGATGTCCTCAATCATTTTCTAATTGATGCACTGGAGTGCAAGACTTCAGCATCCAGCTTCTTTGAAAAATCCGTCGAATGACCAATAACTGTTTCCCAGATACTGTTCCTGTAAGTCTTATAAGTCTTCTTGGTGAAAGTTAAACTAACAGTACCAATTTGTTTTTCTAGAATCGATATCGAGAACTTATGAGAGTGTCTCGACTGTGGAGAGACTTGATGAGTCGAAAATGGTTTGGCTTTGCCCATAATGATGAGCAGAAACCGGACAAGGGTGATCTGGCTTGGTTTTGCCCTGCTTGTCCACAGCCTGGGATTAACCTACCTCCTGACTGGCAAGCCAGATATGAAAGGCAAGTCATTTATCCATCTCATTCTAAGGAGAGGCGACTCAATTTCTCTACCACACTTGAGAATATCATACTCACTGGCTAGCCCTACACTGCATAGTGTACGAGAGCTCCGGCTGGACTGACTTATGTTCTAATCAAACTGGCCAGCATGGCATAGACTGGATGTAAAACCAGGCCGGCCGGCACATTAAATTGGCTTGCTAGCTTGACACAGATAGCATGCATAACCATGCTGGCCGGTTAAAACTGAGGTGCATAGATGTCACTCAAAGACATGCCAGCCAGAGAGTTGGTCTGGAGAGAGACTTCTACTTTTCTTTTTTGCACATTTTTAACCTTATGCTTACCTGTTTGTACAGTTGGCTTGTTTCACAAAGATATGTGGTAGACGGGAACTTCACTGCTCAACATATGGTAATGAGAAAACCACAGTTGGACATTAGTTTGTCAGACGGGCTTGGGTATATGGTGAAAGATCAAGAATACCAGACTCATCTGTCATCGGCTGTAGAAAGTAAAGAGGTGAGTTGGCTCATGACAACCACTTTTCGTTCATGCTTTACTATCTTTGTAGCGGTCTTCTTGCAGCAATCATCATGCAGTAAATGCAGCCAATATCAGCAGGAGCAATCTTCGAGCTACAGGTGTAGGAGCAACTGCTTGTGCTCGACATGGATGCTTTGTTCCTCATAGTATAGTTGATTTTCAGAAGGGCGAAAGGTCTGTGTATGTCCTCCAAATCAACATGTTATGCAAGCTCAGGTAATTTTTAGACACATGAATATCGACTACTCAATATGCAATGCATTGAATTATCATTCAGCTGGTATAGACTCTTCCCTCATCATTTATGATGTGGGGTGTCAGTGGAGCATTAATTTTCTACAGAGAGTAGCCCAGAGCAAGGGCTTGTCTGTACCTGAAAATATGCACATCGTTCCAGCAGTTGGAAAATTCCATCTTAGCGCTCACAAATTAGCTTGCTTTGCAAGGTACAGCCTCAACTTTATTCAAGGGGCTGGACATGTTGATGGGGAGATTTTGGAGACTCTGTGGGCACCATTCAATAAGATCTCCCCAACTGCTCGGTCAATGAGTCAGGCTCACCGTCAAGAAGTTCTTGATGATCATATGCGAGACTCAAACTGGAAAAAAATAGTGGGAATAAGTAAGCCCTCCAAATTTTGCATTTGAACAAGCTTGACGATTGAGCTTCCAGTGAAGACTCTCTTGAAAAAGTACAAACGGGCTCTCAAAGATGTTGATGACACAAAGTCTCCCTTTGACGAGCTCACTCTGTCTCTGGACCCTGAGAAGATTTCGATATGGAAGATCGATGAGAAAAAGGCCATGGAACAACGTGGAGAGTATCTTGACATCTATCAGTTGCAGATGAACAAAGGTAAGTGAACTCTGTCTAGTTGTGAGGCTGCTATTCTTGTATAGACATCTGATCAGTATTTGTATCTAGCTCCAACTATGGCAGAGATTAGACTCAAATTAACTGAGTCTGAGAATACCGACACTAGCAAACCTGGGACAGTCTCTTGGCTCATTACTGGCATCAATCTGGAGGATTTACAGTATGTAACCAATAAAAATAGAGAAACCGTTTGACATAGTACTATTTTAGGGATGGACTAAGGGCAGATATTCGACAACTTCCTACTGATGCAACCCCAGGACAGAAAGTTTCTATAGAAGAGAAGCGACAGAGATTGACAGCTAGGATAGCTAAATTTCATGAAACAGCCGATGCCATGACTGCTGGTATGGATCTTGGAACTGCAACAGTGCATTCCGACGATCCTAGATTCTGCTATGCAGGTCATGATGAAAATGGTTGGGGAGAGGTCTCAGATGAAGAGATCTCAGAGTATATTGACGAAGAAATCTTGGCTGAAGAGATGGGTATCTGGATGCCATCATCAGTGCCCTACCAGGATGCATTGGCTCTCGGACTGGGTCCCCTCCAAGCTGAAGAATTAGAACTTCGAAAGGGCCAAGCCAATGACTGCCTCGAAAAGCTTCGAATGGCCCTTGGTCATAAGGCCATCATCTATCGTCAGTATTTTCGAAGTGCTAATTCTACATGGGCTGGGACTAGGTCAAAGCAAGAAGCTCAACGCTGTCAGCTCAAAATTGACAAGTGTGTAAGAAGCTATCAGAGGGCAAGGTCAGCAATGGAAGGTCTAGGCATGGACAAAGCCACCTTGGGGAGTCTTTATCAGCCAATATCGCCTACAGAGCTCAGTATAGACAAAGAGGTGACAGAAGAAAATAGATTTGGACAAGGGTCAGACAGGCTGGCTTGGTTTTGGAGGGGAAATAATGCAAGCCAAGGTCAAGACGATGCCTGGATAGATGAATGTAAGAAAAAATCTTTATCTCTATGATATGTCACTAAAGCTCCAACCGATCTAGTCTACAGGGTGAACTGGTTGAAGGCTAAGGCTAGATGGAATAGATAGCAAGAGGAATTAAGGCTGGTAAGACATGAAATGGGTTGGACCATAAACTGGTTCAAGTACCACCAGAATGAATGGGAGAGAAGGGGTGGCCAAGCCACCAGACCTGGTCATCAAGCCTATGCTTATCAGCAGGTCTTGATGTGGGGAAGATTTGTTGAGGAGGCAGAGAAAAATTTCAATGGATGTCAATTTATACTTTGATCTGGTATACTGTCTTTGCTAGGAAAAATATGACAGGATAATTCTCAATGCTAATGAATGACAAGGTAGCTTAGCTAGCACTAGCTCCACTCTATGTAGTCCACAGCTGGCCGAGATAATTGTATTTAAGATATGGACTGGCCAGATGGTTCCTACAGCATGTATGTACATGGCTGGCCCTTATAAGAGTATATAACTAGCTTATATCTACCCTATGCAGTCCATGTAATTCTGATACCAATAACTGGTTAGCCTTGATTCTACAATAGACAGAATCAAGTCGGCCGGTATGAAATGTTGAAACCAATAACCAGCCAGTCTTGATCATACATGTCGTAGGAACTATCTGACCAGTATACAAATCTGAAACCAATGACTGATCAGCCTTGATTCTACTATTGTACAATTAAACCGAGCAATATTAAAACTAATAACTGGCCAGTCTTGATTCTACATGTTGTAGAATTAAACCGGCCGGGATGCAATGTTGGAATTGAAAACCAGCCAGTCTTTATTCTACTGTTGTAAAATCAAACCGGCCGGAATGCAATGTTGTGATTGAAAACCGGCCAGTCTTGATTCTACTATTGTACAATTAAACTGGCCGGGATGCAATGTTGTGATTGAAAACCGGCCAGTCTTGATTCTACTATTGTACAATTAAACCGGCTAGGATGCAATATTAAAACTGATGACTGGCCAGTCTTGATTCTACATGTTGTACAAGCTATCTGGCCAGTATGAAATTCTGTAACTAATGACTAGTATAGAAATTACAAAACAATAATTAGCTAGTCTTGATTCTACTATTGTACGATTAAACCGAGCAATATTAAAACTAATAACTGGCCAGTCTTGATTCTACATGTTGTAGAATTAAACCGGCCGGGATGCAATGTTGGAACTGATAACTGGCCAGCCTTGATTCTACTGGTGTAAAATCAAACCGGCCAGGATGCAATGTTGGAACTGATAACTGGCCAGCCTTGATTCTACTGGTGTAAAATTAAACCGGCCAGGATGCAATGTTGGAACTGATAACTGGCCAGCCTTGATTCTACTGGTGTAAAATCAAACCGGCCAGGATGCAATGTTGGAACTGATAACTGGCCAGCCTTGTTTCTACTGGTGTAAAATCAAACTGGCCAGGATGCAATATTAAAACTGATAACTGGCCAGCCTTGATTCTACTATTGTACAATCAAACTGGCCAGGATGCAATATTAAAACTGATAACTGGCCAGTATGACATTCTGTAACTAATGACTAGTACTCGTATAGAAATCCCAAACCAATAATTAGCCAGGCTTGATTCTTCTATAGGATTAAACCGGCCAGCTTTAATTCTACGGTTGTAGAATTAAACTGGCCAGGATGCAATGTTGGAACTGATAACTGGCCAGTCTTGATTCTACATGTTGTACAGGCTATCTGGCCAGTATGCAACTTAATAACAAGTGACTGGCTGACTTGATTTTACAACATGTAGAACCAAGACTGGCCAGTTATCAGTTTCAACATTGTGTCCTGGCCAGTTTGATTCTTGATTCTACAACAGTGGAGTCAAGGCTGGTCAGTCATTGGTTACAGAATTGCATACTGGCAAGCTTGATTCTACCTGCAGTGAAATCAGGCCAGCCAACTAGCTAGCTGAATTCTATATCTTGCAGGCATAAAGCTAGCCACTACCACTGATGGTAATCATTTATATATATATTAACACTAAACACTAATTCTACATACTCCGGCCAGCTGTATTATACATTTTGTAGGCATAAGGCTAGTTATTGTGTTTACAGTAATTCTAATATGTATATATCTACACCAGTCAACACTGATTCCACATACTCCGGCCAGCTGGAGTTTGCATACTCCGGCCAGTGACTGGCTGACCATGATTCTACAGACTTTTGGCACATCCGGAGCCAGGGTTCTACATGGAAAGTGACTGAAGGGTCTGGCATATCTGATGAGCACTTTTGTATTGACACCTGTACCTGTTTTGGTTTGCGCCCATCAGCAGGCGCATATGGAGTTGTTGCCGACGCCGGTCTCGACATCTTTCGGCATCAAGGGATTGGTCCCACGTCCAGATGGGTCGACGACCACTTGTTTATTCGCATACTCACAGAACATCTTGCAGCATACAACTTACAGCGCCAAGAGTGGCATAAGGACATTATCGAACGGGGGCAACACCAAGATGGAGGGAGAATATGGTTCGGGGGACACGTCTTCGAGGACGGGACCCTCGAGGAGTTTGATGAAGACTGCCGGTTTCCCATCAGGGACCTCTCAGCATCATCCCCTAGGTCACCCGAAGACCTTCGGTTTTCATTTAATTTTGCCGATATTGATGGCACTTCTGACGAGCTGGGCATCCCTTGGGAGACCTCCAAGGACGCTAATTTTGCTTACGCGAACCCCTACATCGGCTTCATGTGGGACATCGCCCAGAATCAAGTGTATCTGCCCGAAGCCAAGAAGGAGAAGTATCTACTTGCCATCGCTGAATGGCAAGGGCGTGAAACTCACGTTCTTCGTGACGTGCAGCGCCTATACGGAAAATTGCTGCACACCTCACTCGTCATTACGCGGGGGCGCGCGTACCTCACCGCACTCGAAGCGATGCTGCACATCGGATCCAATCGTCCTTTCCTCCCACGTCACCAAGTCAAAAGCCTACCAGACGACCTCAAGTGGTGGATCGCTCTTCTCCGAAGTCAATTCGTCGGTCGCACCATACCCAAGCCCATCACCTCTCTGCATAATCCCGCAGCTTTTTCTGATGCCAGCTCAGGCATTGGAATTGCTGTCGTCATTGGTCGACGATGGCGAGCATGGCGTCTTCGCGAATGATGGAGGACGCTCAATGGGGTGAAAGACATTGGATGGGCCGAGGCAGTCGGGTTTGAACTTCTCATTCGACACCTTGTCCAATTGGGAGGCACGGAAAGACACTTTCGTCTCTTCGGAGACAATCAGGGCGTCATTGAGGGATGGCGCAACGGTCGCAGCAGGAACTCAGCTGTCAACACAGTTTTCCGGCACATCTTCGCCTTCATCCATGACCTCCCAGCTCCATACTCTTTCCACCCGGTCTTCGTTCCAAGCGAACATAACCCAGCCGATGATCCATCCAGAGGCATTTATGCTAGCCCAGAACTCATGCTCCCCGAAGTTCCCATTCACGACAAACTGCAACGGTTTATCTTCAACCCATTCTCCAATCGCGACAGCGCAGGTAACCACTCCAGCTGCAGGAACGAATCCCTCATCATCGCTGAGTCTTCTCGCGACGATACCAGTGTCGATCTTAGTCGGGAGCTCGAACACATTGGCACCATCCCTGATTCCCTCTATCACATCCATGAACGCCAATGGCACGACTAACTCACGCTTTAACGCTCCTCTTCCTGTCGAACCGACAACTAAACCACAGCCTTATAAGGCGGGTTTAGTTCCTAAGACCTCACCTCTTCGTCCACACTGTTCAGCAAGGGACAGACTCAAATGCTGGATACCAGTCCAGACGAGATCGAGTTGAGATGCCAACAGGAGAATCTTGAGCGTGACTGAAGAGGATCTAGAGAGAGTCCTTATGGTCATCAACCAATCATGGGCTCAAGGAACGAGAGAGTGTTATGGAGCAGGATTACTAGTTTTTCACGTTTTTTGCGACGGTCACACCATTCCCGAAGAACAACGCTGTCCAGCGGACACACTTACCATACTCAACTTTATCTCAGGATGTGCTGGCTCTTACTCCGGAAAAACCCTAGCAAACTATGTCTATGCCGTGCGTGCGTGGCACACGTTGCATGGCCAACCATGGCAGGTGCAACCTGACCAATTGAAGGGAGCCTTAGACGGCGCCATCAATTTTGCCCCGCCAACATCCAAGAAACTCAAACGCAAACCATTCACCACGAAGCTCATTCTAGAGATTTGCCCCCTTCTAAGACTCTCTTCACCTCTAGATGCGGCTGTGTTTGCGTGCTTGACGTGCGCCTTCTACTCGCTCTGCCGAATCGGAGAACTAACCGTAACCGCCATGAACACGTTTCAAACCACGGCACATGTCACACGTTCGAATGTCCAAATGGACGCGGAGGATCGCAATGGATTGCGCGTCACCAAAATCCACTTACCACGCACCAAGACAGCACCTATCACCGGTGAGGACGTATATTGGGCCCAACAAGAAGACCAAACTGATCCCAAAGCCGCTCTTTTGAATCACTTCACAGTCAACAACCCTTCTTCAACCGATCATCTCTTCGCCTGGGTACACCCAAAATACGGCTTAAGGCCACTGTCTCGCACAGTTTTCTTGAAGAGAATCGGGGAAGTGGCTAAGAGGATCGGAGCTGACAATTTGAAAGGGCATGGGCTAAGGATTGGAGGGACGCTAGAGTACTTGTTGCGGGATGTTCCTTTCGATGTGGTCAAATCGATGGGAAGGTGGTCAAGCGACGCCTTCACCATCTATCTACGCCAACACGCTATGATAATGGCGCCCTATCTGCAGGAGTCACATATCCTCGAACCGTTCACACAGTACACCATGCCTCCTCCACGTTGAACAAAGGTACGTGCACATCGCCCTCCTCCTATTTGTTGGGAGTCCATGCTTAGCCTGACGCGTCGCAGGGCTCCTGTTGTTTTTGGGAATCACGGCTTGCCCTGGACTCCGTCCGAAACGATGTTTCGGGTCAAAAAGCCCTGCGGGCTTTTAGCCCAAATAGCGTCATCATACCTCGTATTCTCTATTTGTCACACAGTAGATATTATTGAAC